AGCTTTATTGATAATCTCGTGGACTCATGGAGGTGACTTGAAGAATCCTATAATGTTCATCAAAACGTCTCCTGCTCCTCTGTACCCCAGTCAAATTATCCATTCTCATTAAATAATAACTTGGCTATTGATGGAACATTTAGTTACACACTCTAAGTCGTTGGGATACTATAATGAATGCATTCTTGAGTGCTAGGAAATTTAGGCAAAGAAGATTAATTTAGTCTGGACTTAAAATAATTCAAGATTTTCTGTCATTCTATTTCAGTTGCTCATATAACTTCTTGCTTTTTCATACTTTTTATATGAGGAGTATAGGTTTCTTTTCTCATAGCCAGAGATGATCTTGAAAATAAGTGCCTTTTTTGACAGAAATAATAAGGCTGGAATTCTAACGTAAAAGGTCCTCCCAAATACAAAGAAAAGCCTAAGGCTTGGACAGTATAAAAATCTGCCATTCCTATTGCATTCCAAATATTAAACAATAAAATATACTATATAATTGTTACCTTATTAAATACTCTGAAGAAAGAGACATGGAATAGCAATCAGAGGACTGATGTTCAGGTCACCTTTGGCAAATCACTTAACTTCAAGCCTTTCTTTTAATCTGTAAAATGAGGAGAATAATTTCTTCTCCCCCTACCTCAGTGTTTGTGATACTTAAATGAATAAAAGTATTTAGGACCCACACATAAGGCATAATAACTGTATGATTAAAAAATTGTTGGTATACCAAAAAAAGAGAGAAAAAAACCCAATTAAATATTTATATGTCCCTCATAAGGGGCTCATGGTCTCAATAGATTGTATGTTCAGTAGGTTATTTAGTTAAGGCATAGTGATAGTTTAAAATAACCTCACTCTTTCCATAGAAAGTTAGCAAGATCTTTCTTTTCATTTCTGCTTGGTTCTGCTTAGTCTATAGAAAGTTGGGGTCATGTTGAACTGCCCTGGCTAAAATACCAGTCCCCTTTATATGTCTAATTCCTGGAAAAGCTGGGTAACATGGCAGAACAGTAACAATAGGAGTCAGGGCTGGGCTTGTCTTTTCTGCCCTGGGATTCTTACCATTTCTGGCTGTCTTTGACCAGGAAGTCAAAGCTCCTTTTATTTATTTGTAGTCCAAGCTCTTTTTCATGGCTGATTTAGTAAAGATTTTTAAAGATCATCAGATAAGCATCAGATAAAAATAATTCTAGACTCCTGCTGGCCACAAGATAATTGCCATATTTGACTGATCTTAAACAATAGTTTCATTTTTCAGGGATTTAGTTAATTATAAGCCTGTGCTGTCTAATATGGTAGCCACAAACCCTATTTAAATTTAAATTACTTAAAATTAAAAATTAAGTTTCTTAGTTACGCTAGCCATATTTCAAGTGCCCATTAGCTGCATGTGGCTAGAGGCCACCGTATTAGCACAGATGTAGAACATTTTCATCGTCACAGAAAATTCTAATGGATAGCACTGTTAGAGACTTCTTTCTAACCTGTGCGTTGCTGTTTTTCTTTCTTGCTATCTCCATCAAAGGCTCTTTCTTTCATGTTTATTTGTTTTGGGTGAGCAAAGTTGGGGGAAAAGGAGCTCACACTCATGCCCTATTTTTTAGTAATATTGATGAAATAGTTGGTGATTTGATGGACTGAAACTATTGGCTAGAGTAAGATTTTGAAAATATTTTTGAATTTAATATATATGTATTGCCCTAGTTGTAGAGGTTTTTATTTGGTTTTTAAATGGACTAGAATCCTGTATCAGCTAAACACTTCTCATGAACTAGCGACTACAGTTTTTCTATTGAATGTTATTTTGTTACTTTTAAAAGTTTTATTTTATGACAATCTCCTCTACTACAGTGAAAATTTGGCTCCTGTGCTCATATCGAAGTCATTTGAACTAGTATATGCCCTTTTCTCAATTTAAATGCAATTTCTAATCCAAGATCCATTCAGATCTTGATATATGCCAATTAAAATATTGACTTTAAACAAAAGGGTCATAAAAAAGGTGAGATTAAAATGATTAGGAGCTGAGTCCTTATCACATAATCCAAAGTAAACGAGGATTGCACAACGCCTTGAGGAAGCACAGTTCAGTTGCATAGACATGTTCCTAGATATTCCAAACTGCTTTGAAATTATAGTGCTTTGTGTTGAAAGATTGATATTAAAATATACTTGGGAATTAAAATTCACTTTATGATGAATTGTTGCTAAAAGGCTTTAAGATAGCACTGTGAAGACATGATACGTAAAAGAACAGTCTCCAAAGCCAAGCCACATTTCTGCGAATCAGAATCAGAACATTTTGTGTAGGCAGTGTGGCTTACCAAATGTGTCTTTCATAAAGGAAACCTATTTTTCACTTTAACATTGACATAATTTATGTAAATCCAGGAATCAAAATTATACCTCAGTGTCACTTAATGTTTGTTATTTGGACCAAATTTCAGTTGGTTTAATTGTGAAACTAAAAATGGAATTTTGTTGCTGAAAACTTGAGTTCAGTGAACTCAGGTTCTCATAACTGTTAACAAACTTGTTTTAAAGTTTTTTTGTTTTGTTTTGTTTTTTTGGAGACAAGGTCTCACAGTGTGGGCCAGGCTAAAGTGCAGTGGCACAATCTCAGCTCACTGCAGCCTCAACCTCCAGGCTCAAGTGATCCTCCTACCTCAGCCTCCTGAGTAGCTGAGACTATAGGCGTGCACCACCACACCTGGCTAGTTTTTGTATTTTTTTGTAGAGATGGGGTTTCGCCATGTTGCCCAGGCTGGTCCTGAACTCTTGAGCCCAAGTGATCCACCGGCCTTGGCCTCCCAAAGTGCTGGGATCACGAGTGTGAGCTACCTCACCCAGTCTAAAGAATTTTTTTTTAAATGTTCATTTCAAAACCAGTGAGAGTAGGTGCTCACCCAGGAGATGTGACCAGTTAACTAGGAGCCAGGAACCTCAGAAGAGAAGAGTAGCTCATAACTCAGCTTGCTGGATCCAACATGATGAGAATTCCTTCAGGACTGGGAGACTAGGGTGATTTCCCAGGTCTAATTCTGCTTTGTTCTGGGTAGTTGGGCAGGCTATGTAGTATATCCAGAATTCCAGACCATTAAGTGAAATGCTTGTCATTAGTGGTACCCAATCATTGTTTCGTGACACACCACTGTGTCACAAAGATTTCCTGCAGTGTTGCAGTGAGCCTCTCTTTTCCCAAAGCTCTGGCTCCTTCTCTGACACATTGCCACCAGGCCCGTGTGACCTTTACTCCCTTTTCCCCACCCAAACATCTTACATTCCTTATACCTTATATCTGGATTTAGGAAAAGACTTCTTCTGGACAGTTGATTTGCAGTTCCAATCTGAGTTCTTACACAGTTGCCAAGCTATTATTGCTGCAAGGAGTTAAATCAGTTTTCACACAGTGGTTCTAATAGTTTATTGTTAAAATGTCATTTATTTAAGTTAAGCATTTCCAATGCCCCATTAAACCACTGTTTCTTTTATTTCCTGGAGTTTGGGAATACCAAGTGAAAAGGAAGAGCGAAGAACAGAAAAGTGTTAGTGGGATGGTAAACACCGTGAACACTGCTGTTTCTAGTGGGCCAGAAAAATGTATGTATAAATCTTGCCCGTTCTTGGAGGCACTTTCGGATTCTCCTCCACAAAGCTTTCTATGGTCACCATTTAGAGTCAATCCCCCTTTCCCTGTTCTCCATGGTATGTTATTTAGTTCTCTTCATATTACTGATCAGTAATCTGATCAGAGACTGATCAGGTCTGCTTTGCCACTTGGTCATTTGTGCATGTCTTTTTCTTACTGAAACTGTCAGATTCTTCTTTGTATCTTCAGAAGTACATATAATATAATGTACCATATGTAAGTTTATATGTAGACATACATTTTTAAATTCTTTAAATATAATAGATTCATATTCAATAAATAGTATTGAATGCCTATTCTGTACTATACAAAACACTGGTGATAAAACAATGAGCAAAGCAGGTACAACCCTATTTCTCAAGGAGCTTTTATAATGAGGCAGAAAGGATAGACATTAAATAATAATTTAGATTGCAGCTTGGTGAGTCCAGAAAAGGAGACATACAGTATGCTATATGAGGTTTATATAACAGGAAGACCAGCCTATGCTGGGGATTAAGAGGGAAGATTTTTTGGTATAAGTAATCTAAGCTGAGCCTTGAAGAATAAGTTGGAGTTAACTAGGCAAAGAGGTAGAGAAGGAGCATTCCATGCATATAGAATGGCATGTGTGAAACATATCGCTGGACTGGTTGCCTTGCAAGTGTAAGAGACTGAAAGTCTAGATTACCTGGTTTTTAGTGGTGAGGAAGAGAATAGTGCACGATGGTACTGGAGAAATAAGTATGAGTCAAATCTTGCAGAGATATGTGGGCCATGTGAAAGATTTGGTTCTTTAGCCTAAGATCACGAAACAGACTTTGGAAGCTATCAAGTAGAAGATGCTTAATCTACAGTTATCTTAACAGCCTCCCAGTAGATTCCTGGCTTCCAGCCTCTGTAACTTACATTTATACTTATAGTTCTCATTTGCATTGTGACTGCTGTGGGAAACGAGGAAGTAGCATGTCTTCTATAGGTAATGAGAACCTTCTACAGGTAATGAGGAAGCAAGTGGGATGCTTGCTTCCTCAGAAAAGAATCTGGCTAGTAGGTTGATTCAGTCTGGATCCAAAGCTTCCAAAACTTGAATTTTATTCTGTCTTGAATGTGGACCATTTAGTTTATTTTGAAAATTTGATTTCTAGCAGGTTTTCAGAATAAACTAACAAATCCAAGAACGGCCTGGGTTACCTAGGCAATAGTCTAATTTTATTAGACTATTTTATTAGACTATTGCCTAGGTAACCCAGGCCGTTCTTGGATTCTGAGACCATTCCTCCTGCCACACACAGCTCCCCACAAGAACACTTAGCTATCAGTGGGAAAAATCCAATGTCTTTCTCTTGCTGGGACTGTCTTGTCCATATCAGTCATATACAGTCTCACAGGTAACCCTGGAGGAGGGAAAGGGGGATGGGGAACCAAAATGCAAAGGACCTGGTGCTAAGTGCCCCATCATTATTTTGTTCAACTGAAAGTCAAACAGATAGGAGAGTTGTAAAACTTGCCTACAATGAGAATAAGCAAGGAAAGAATTAAGGGTCATTTCACATTTAAAAATTCAGCTTATCACTTGAAGCTGTCAGTGCTTTGTGTGTAGAACTTTCAAATAATTAACATTTCTCAAACATCAAAACACAGCTAGAGGTGTGCATGAATAAAGAGGCACAGGTCCAAAAATATTATTTTTACTCTTTGAACTGGTAGGACTAATAGAAAAATAAATGAATATAATTGTTTAGATTAACTAGTTTTTATGGAAAAGAAACGTGGGAGAGAGTAGTTTTTAACCAGTACTTGATTATTTGATAATCACTACTACATTAGATAAAAAGTAGAAAAATAGGCATATATAGCATTTACTTATGAGAAACATCTCTCTCTTAAACTGTATTTGTTTTTAAGCACTCCAAGATCTTGGCCAGGATATTTAACTTTTGACCCAGTTTCCCACTGCATGGTATGGCTATAGGACATAGTGGATGTAAAAGGGCTTTCAACAAATATAGACCATCATACAAACATATTTACTAGTATTATTGTTTCAATTATCTATTATGGAGTAACGAATTACCTCCAAGTTAAAACTTAAAATGACTTAAAAATGACTTGAACTTAGAAATGACTTAAAACTTTAAAATGACTTAAACTAAAAAGTGACTTAAAATTTTGCATTTTCCTGGGTTGCCTGGGATCAGCTGGGTGGCTCTTCTGCTCCATTTGACTTTGGGTCACTCAGGCAGCTGCATGCAGTTGGGAGCTCAGCTGGGGACAGAATGTCCAAGATGGCCTCATTCACATGCCTCACAGTTGTCTGGCTGTTGGCTGGAGTGCCTCCATTTTCCTCTGTGTAGCTTCTCTTTCAGTACAGCCTCTCTTTCCATGTGGGTTCTAACTGGAAGGCAGATTCGCCCAGATTTCTTTACAGGGTGATTGGCTGAAAGCCTCTTCAGGCCCAGATCTGGAAGTCACTCAGCCATACTTCTGCATTCCTCTGGTCCAGTCGCACAGGGCCATCCCATAGTCAAGGGGAGGTGAAACAGGTTCCAGTCCTGGACTTTGGAGGAGAGAATCACATTGAGAAAGCACGTGCAGAGCAGGAAGGATTGTGGCAGGTATTTTTGGAACTGTCTACCACAGTTATTATTAAATACAGCTTGAAAGAGTGAAAGATTCCAATCCCAATGAATAAGAATGCTTATTCATTGTACTGCTTCCAGATATTAAAATTAAGAAGTTACCTTTAATATATGTGTGCTGTGCATAATAGCCATGGCATATATTCACCATAGCTATTCTAACTGAAGGAAAAGATATATCCCCTAAAAACCTAATTCTTGATTTAGTCTTATTGTTTAATTTTTTCAAAAGTATACTACAATCATAGTTTCTATTGTTTCAGAAGTTAAATTCACTTTACATGTTTACTGATACAAAGGGAATTTTGAACTCCCTCTAGTGGCAAAAGATTTTCTTTTATTTTTTCAAAGAGCTTACTTAATAAGATGGCTGACATGTATAACACAACATAGTCTCAAAAATGACCTGTTCTTACCATCAGAAGATACCCACTTTCTCCTGTGTGAGTTATGGTAGGTCCTTTAATCTCTTATGAGAAATGTTAACCTTTCTAAGAAACATTGATCATATTACATGAAAAACGAAAAAGGAAGAAAGGAGACTTCCTGTTAACTTTAAAGTGCAAAAACTGCTAACTGCCCCTTTAGTCAAGGTCTTAAATAAAAAGTATTATATTTTGACAATTAAAATATCATTTTCCCTGACTAAAAAGTAAATTAAATTTTAAATTTTTGCCTGAAGAATTATTTTTTGAACAGACAAATGTATTTAATTGAAAAAATCTTTACATAGAGAGCAATAGGTAACTGTTTAAACGTGCAGCTTGGAAAACACTAATAACCAAACTGGCGAGGGGTGGGGGGATCATAGGGATCCCAAAGTGTTATGCTTTTTCCTAAGTTCAAATTTGGATTTTCATGGCCAATAGAGAAGGAACATAGTTATCACCATTACTCCATACAAACGGAAGCACAATGTCAAAGGGTGGGAATAGAAAAACAGCTATTACAGACTTCGTAAGCTAAGTTTTCTTATCCCCACCCCATTGCCAAACAGAATTAATAATACTAATTAACTTACTCTGTTATGGGTCCATCTATAGACAAATTTATTCTGGTTCTTTATATAGTAAAAGGACATTTATTTGATGCTAAAAGACATTCTTTAAAAATGCTCTTTTCCCAACTATTTATGGAAGCTGATCCAACCTATCGTGTACTGTCTAGTAGGTTGACACCCAGAACCTCTGTTCTCCTGCCTACAGTGGTAGGAAAATGGCCAGGGATGGTAAGAATCCATAGGGTTTTTTTTTTTTTCTTCTTCTTCTTCTTAACGCTCTGGAAAGTGGAACCTAGGATTATAAAAATAATTCCCAGATATTTTGGTTTTTTTGGGGGACTAAACTATGAAATAGTAAGATTTCACTACAATAATTAATCCAGCCAATAAAAAGTTAGACTTTGTTTCTTTCCAATACCTCTTTTTAGTTCGACATTTATAACTAAGTCTGTGTCTCTTGTGGTCTCGATTACATCCGGTGTTTTCAGCTGGCAGCATTTCCTCTGCTGAGGCCACCCCATGTTTTTTGCCAGGCTACATTTCTGTGAATATAAAGAGAGAAAACCAAGGTGTGTTAGACAGTGAAATTTAAGGAGAAATTGAGTATAACTTTGATTTTTGAAACAAAAACCAAGCCACTATATTTGTTATAAACAAACTGGTGATTAAAATATGTAGGCTCCAGAAGTACATTGAAAGTCTTACAGCCATCTCCTAGCCATCCTGCATGTTTTCTCTTGAATATTTATAAGAACCTAATTTAACTAACAAACAGAGACCAGAGATTCCCTTCCAGCTTTGCTTGCACAGATTTAAAATAATGAAAGTGAATTTGCATTTCTTAAAATGGTGTTTTCTTCCAGCTCTCATAGAAATGTTTTTGGAACAGTGATCTGTGCTAACAGCTGTATTCAATCTTGAGTAAAAGTCACTTCCTGAAGAGAATGAAATTCAACTTAACATTCGAACTTGCCTAGAACATAATCCTGTAGGGTGAGTGTACTATGTGATTATGAAACTGGACACAGGCACCCTGCTGAGATGATTTCTTATAAATAATACCCAACAGAAACCATTAATCAGTGTCAGTGTTTTTAACTGAAGAATTAATATTCTAAACGTGTTCCTTACTCATACACGTAACTGTCTTAGTTTTCAACAATTTTACTCTTTGGCATTTAAAAAATGTAATTCCCTTGTGGAATTAGATCTATATGAAATCTCTATCTCTATGTATTAATATATACCATCAGGTAGAAATAAATATAGATACATATAAAATATATAAACATATATGTTTATATATTTAGGCTTTAAAAATTTTTTTAATTGTGTCATTCTTGATTTTCAGGTAAAATTTATTTTTGACTCAGTTCTCTTTACCTATTCTGTCATTTATTTGTTGCAGTGAGCTCAATTTAAATAAAATTTTGTTCCTGGCCTCATAAAATTAGTTGTAGGTATATATATTGGAGGTACAGTTTTAGCTATTAATTATGGATTTTAAAACATCTCTTAGTTATTATTGACCTCTACTTTCCTAAATATTGTACTTCTTTATTTTAAAGAAGGAAAATGTCGTATTACAGTAACTTGGATATTGCTAAAACCTTAATGGAATCATCCCTTAGATGGAAAAGTATTCACTCAATCATCCGTTTTCTTTATGGATCATTCCTTTGTCATCTAAACAGTGAATGTGGAGTTTTCAGTCATAGGCTGTCAAATTGATATAAAGTCTAACACGTTAAGGCAGAATTAACGAATATACATAAAAATTCCAACCATCTCAATTTGTAGGAATGAAAACCGTTTCTGGCCTTACTTTGGTAACAAAAAAGGAGGTAGGCTTTTTTCCATTCCTTGACCAAACCACTAAGTTGCCTTGAAGACCTTTGTTTATAATGTCTTCTTACATTCTTTTCCCCCTGACATGCTCCCCTCCCTCCAGCAGTGAGATACTAATTAAAGAGAGGCCACTGTGACCCTCGGTTGTTTAGAAGTCACCCGGAATGAGGTGGCGGCACCGATCTGGAGAGGAAGTGCTCATTCCTAAATATAACACAGTCCTTAAGACCATCTTGTCAAAAATCTGTTGGCTTCTAATAGCAAACAAAGTACCTCCTTTGACTTAAAAGGTATACACTTGAAACTAAAATGGAATCTCTAAAACTTACTTTAACAACATCTATATCCACTTTTATAAGAATTAGCAACAAATACAATTAACTCATATATGTCACATGATAGTTTCTTTCAGAGACACTGAAATATAAACATTAAAAACATTTTAAATTTGATAAAGAATAATCTAATTTTTATGTGTTTGTTGAGGGGGAGGGAGCACACATCCTGCCATTCCATTTAAAAAATTAGAGACAGCTTAGATTGTGTATGAGAAGACCCCTTCCCCTCCCTTCCCTTCCCTCCCCTCCCCTTCTTCCCTTTCTTCCCTTTCTTCCCTTTCTTCTCTTTTTCTTTCTTTCTCTTTCTTTCTTTCTCTTTCTTTCTTTCTTTGTCTTTCTTTCTTTCTCTTCCTCTCTCCCTCCCTTCCTTTTCTCTTTTCTTTTCCTTCCTTCCTTTCTCTTTTCTTTCTTTCCCTTCCTTCCTTCCTTCCTTCCTTCTTTCTTCCCTCCCTCCCTCCCTCCTTTCCTCCCTTCTCTCTTCTCTCTCTTTCTCCCTTTCTTTTGTTTCGACACCAAGCAACACTTTAATTGGGATGGTAAAACGAATGTGGTGCCTGCCAATCATGGAAGTGCAAGGATTGCAAATTTTTCTTAATATAAGCATTTTGAAAGAAATTGAAATAATTTAATAACTTGCCTTAAATGAGCAGGTGGTGCTGCCTGACATTAAATTATTTCCTTCTTAAGTGGACTTGCTATTGCTAAGTACTAACTTACAAGAAGCAGTTTCTTGCACAATTTTATTAGTATTTGTTTAGCAGGATAATTCTGGTTGCAAGCACAGTAATAGAGACCCATTACTGTTTGTGTTAAGTAATGAGGTGGAATTGTTCTAAGAATATAGAAGGGAATAAGAATCTCAGTTATGAAACCCGATCTCAACAGAACCTGAGAAAGCAGCTTCCTAGGTGGGCCTATGGAGACCAGTTGGATGACAGTTTTCCATTCAAGAGCAGGAGTTTTGAATTTTTCCTCTTGAACTTCTGCCATTTCTGCCACTTACTTGCTCTTTGTTTAGCTGGGTTAGAGTCCGGCTGCTTTGCTTCTTACTGTCTACTATCATTCTACTCTCTGGGTCTCACTGTCCTGTGATTCACTTTCCAAGTGATGATTCCTCTGCCTCATTGCTTCTCCTTCCTCCCGGCATTGCTTACTCATGGCCCCTCAGCTACCTTATATATGGCCTCCTTCTCTATGCACAGTACCCAGCGGTTTTAGGCTCCCGCTAAACACTGACTGAATAAATAGATGAGGAACATTGTTAGGGAATTATAAAAAGTAAGCGTTTTGTGTTTTCTTTTAGTTAGCCTTTAAAGAAGCTAAGAAGATATCAATTAATTAAAAGGCAGCTGGAAGACAAATGTTATTTTGAAAAATTTAACCTAGTCATCTCTCTTTAGGTTAAAAAGGATTCACTGTAATAGTAGTAAGAAATTATTTATTTACAGAGGCACTGAACAAGTGTATACAGTTAAACTTGAGAGTCTGGACTACCCTATAAAGAATAGTAGTGTGTTTAAATGCTCTCACTTCACACTGCCCCATTTAGGCAGCCACACTGGCAGGAATGGAGATGATAATTTAACTTCAGACTCCAAGAGGGGAAGCAGTCATTTTTTATTGAACATATTCCATTTAGGAGTCGAAATTAAGGTCTAATAACGGTCTGAAGACTATTTTTTTTAATCCTTCAGATCTTAATCTTAATAACTTACCTGTGAATAGATGATCAATTCCTGATTATTTTTAAGGCAATCTTTTTTTAAAAAAATGTTTGATTTTTAAATCTCTCACCTTCCTATTGCTGCTCATTTTTACCCCTAGCTTTCAGTTGCCCAGGGTACAAAAATAAATACCAGGAAAGAGTTCTCAATTCTTCATCCCTTTGCTTCCTTTTATTTTTTTTTAATATGAAAGGTTATACACATTCTGTAAAATCTTTCCTAATTTCTGCTATTCATATAGTCATTTGTGAGTGAATAAACAGTAAACATAAGCAGACCCAAATATGTATTTTTTTAATCACATACAGTTTTTAACTGAATGTTGGGTTGAAGAAGAACCCAAATAGTGGTTTAAAATTCAGTTGCTCAGCTTCCCGGTTATAGCATGAATATCCAGAAGTGGCCAGTTAATGGGGCTTCATTCCCCAGCACTTTGGAAATGACCAGCAGTCCCAAATGCATTTGAGAGCATTTTCACTCATGAGAGAAAATGTACTTCTCAGATTCTAAAGGCTTTCTGAGTGAAAACCAGACAAAACAGACAATAAGGATGCTAATGAGTATGAGACGTCTTTCTTTTTTTCTTTTTCTTTTTTCCCCTAGTCTCTCACCTCTGGCTGAAATTCTTTATTTTATGAAATGATTCTTGGCCGGGTGTGGTGGCTCATACCTATAATCCCAGCACTTTGGGAGGCTGAGATGGGTGGATCATTTGAGGTCAGGAGTTTGAGATCAGCCTGGCCAACATGGTGAAACCTGTCTCTGCTAAAAATACAAAAAGTAGCCAGGGCATGGTGGTGGGCGCCTATAATCCCAGCTACTCGGGAGGCTGAGGCAGGAGAATCGCTTGAACCCAAGTGGCAGAGGTTACAGTGAGCCGAGATTGTGCCACTGCATCCATCCTGGGTGACAGAGGGAGACTCTGTCTCAAAAAAAAAAAAAAAAAGAAAAGAAAAGAAAAAAAGAAAGAAAGAAAAGAAAAAAAAAAAGAAATGGCACTTTTTTTCTTGAACTTCCAAGTCAATAAATTTTAAATTACTTTTGTTTCTAGAGTTGCAACATTGTACAAAACATTGAGGTAGACCGGTTGCTCTGGACGAGTTTGCCCTCCAGTGAAATGGACTGATAGATAGAACCAAAGTACAAACAAACGGCCTTAGTGGGTGGCACACCTATTTCAGTGGTGACATCAGAGAGAGGAGTAAAGGCCCCCCGGGGGACACAGGACCTCAAGGAAATTTGAACCAGGGGTCTAGATCCCAAGAGAAGAGCCAAGATTGGAGCTCTGGCTGTGGTATTCTTTCATTCACTGGTGATAACTGAAGTGTTAGTCGTGGGTGAGATCATATGTGGAAAAGAACCTAGAGCAGAGCAAAAAAGAGGGTAAAGGAGGACGCCAATAGAGTAGACAACTTGGAATTACATGAAGTTGAGTGGCTGGTGCTATCACAAAACTACATCATGTTATGTGGGGACAAGTGGGAGTCAGAAGCCAAGTTAGAGTGGTCTGTATTTGCAATGGGCAATGAAGTGCAAACGTCCACTGACGGACAGTCTTTCAAGAACTCCAGCAGAGAAAGAAAGAAGGAATAAAGTAGCATAAGAAGCAAGGGAATCATTTCCCTCCCTGCC